ATGCTGCTCAATGTGATAGCTCGCACGTGATGTAGATTTACCGCTGATTACAGAACCGGCTTTACTGATAAGATGCGCGTTAAATATCGCATGCGATTTATCGTGCAGCCCTAGTGTATTGTATGGTTTTATGTATGGGTTTGTTCTGCATATAGTATTTTATTTGTGCAGGGCTTAGAAAGTCTTAAGTTTCATTTTAAAAACACTGCAGATACCTTGTTTTAGATGTAGTGGCTCATATGGCCCATTGTTTTACCTACTTTTCTACAGGTTGTCTTGGACATTACATTCTATGAGGAAAACAGGCTTGTAGATCAGGAGTTTCCTGAGGACACTTCCCCTTTTAAAATTCAGCAGTTACTACAGGACTTGACAGAGCCAGAGGTGTTAGCAGGGCGACTGGTACCTGCACAAGAGGTGTTGTATTTCTGTATCTTTAGAAGATCTTTACTTGGAACAATTAGTTTCATTATTTGCTGTTGATTCTAAATAAGGCATCCACTCCCACTGGTTAATATTTTTGGTTACAGACCACCTGTGCAATTTGGAAATGTGCCAATTTCTGCAGCAAATTATTTTTATGCCATTGTATAATTTGTTGTTTGTTTGTTTGCAACAAAAGTGCATTCAAATTTTTTTGCAACTTTTTATGCGTTATAACACATAGCATAAGTAAATAAAACCTACAGGTCTATATTTTTCTAGTTTAATTGGCATAGACTGAATACGATTAGAAAGCTCTGCTCTTAGTAACTGTAGTGTGTTGCGTTGTTTGGTATCAGGTGCAGTCTGTGCTGGGGCTGGAGCTGCTGGAGTGCCTATACTGGAGGCGTGGGGCATTATTATATATGTACTGCCACACACTACACCAACGCAAGCAATGGATCAAGAAGAACAAAGCCACTTTCCTTAAGGTTCTTTCTCCAACCTCTCACTCCACTGTGCCAGTTTTAGTGGCCATGACTTGAGTAAGTGTTGCAATGCTCCGTGTCTTCACAGTGTCTTCAAGAAGGTGTGCGTTACCTTATGAGAATGTTGCAAGTGAGGAACTCAGTCAAGCTGAACGATGGTGTGGTTTTTCATGACTCCGCAACCGCCAATTTTCTGGCAGAAGGTACATCTTTGCAAATGTACTTTGTTATAAAACTGAAAGACGAATGATTGATTTTTGTGGCGTTTCTAAGCTTTGTTTGTAATTTGGGAGCTGAAAACTCCAGACATGCAAGTCATTGTGCACACATTATGCACTGACTTCAGATTGTGTCTCGGGGTGTGACACATTAGGCATTGTGTCTCTGCTAGGGTTGTAACGATATACCGGTATGACGGTTTATCACGGTTTGAACGTGCATGGTTCTCATACCGTAAACATTTGCATATCTACGGTTAAAAAAAAAAATGAATGAAAAAAAATCTCACCCACGCACATGCAGCTTATTTCCGCTCGGCTGCTTCACTCTGCATTCACTTGGCTGCTTAATGTTACACGCACGTGCAGCGGAGAAAATGACAGAGACAGATAATATCTAATCTCCATCCCCGCCGAAAAAAAAGTGAATATCTGCAGTATGGGAATACTTCGGATATTTAAAAAAACGAACGTGGGGTTGTCCTTGAGGAGGGATCCAATTTGCAAAAAATGTGGAAGCAAAGTGGCTGCAAAAGCAGGCAATACATCCAACATCTTCGCTCATATGTCGCATTAATAACAAGTTATAAGTTAAGGCCTTATGAATTCCTTGAAGCAGAGGGAATCCCGGTGCAGTCGTGAACATGGAATTTACAGTATAATAAGGATGTCACGTAAAACACGCAATCGGATGGATGGATAAATCGAAAGTAGTTATGATATGTGCCTGTGAATATTAAACCGCAAAGAGACTGCTATATGAATAATCTACTTGGTTCTGCATGTCTCTGAGTGGTGCCGTTTTATCTAACGTACTGCATACTGAAGTACACATACATAAATTGTGTTTTCAGCGTCTAAGATACATAAACATGAACGTCAGCAGAGCTACTCTGAGAGAAAACGTAAATAAACATTTCCTAGTTTTATTTGATAAAAACCATTGTCAAATACACTCTGAAACTGAAAGGGTCCGCTACAACCCGTCAAAATAAAAGTTTGATAAATATATTAGCATTGTGCAATGTACTTCAAAGTAGGCCTGCAACAAACGATTATTTTGATAATCGATTAATCTAACTATTGATAGTACGATTAATCGACTAATCGCCGATTATTCCACTGATTGATCAGTAGACTTTGATTGATTATTCAGCTTTTGCAATTAGTTAAAATATTGAATTATACATATTCTAACAAATAAATAAAGGTAATTACTTCAGCTTTTGAAAATCATATTATGTAATTACAATTATTATACAATTAAATTATACAAATAAGCTTATGAAAATCATATTATGTAATTACAATTATTATACAATTAAATTATACAAATAAATGTATTTGGCACAAAATGAGATGACAGACAGATAAACCATTTAGTTAGCCATATGAAAAAGTCACTGAATGACATCATTCTGCCTGACATCTCCTTTTGTAAGTCATATGGATACGAAACTAAATAGAGGTAAGTGATGAGACGCTTTATTTTTGGATAAACTATTTTTTTCAAGCACAACCTTCACAACATAATCTCTCTTAAAATACCTTATAGAGTTATGATAAAACAGTCCTGAGCTAGATCAAGTTTTGATCTCTGCAAACCAAACTATCACTTTAATTAAATAAAAAAAATTTCCCACTAATAAAAAGATTTTATCATTAGCTAGCTCCACACTGGAGAGCTGAGAGAGCTCGTGCAAACATCCACATCGCTGTAATCAGATGCGTTTTAGACTGCTGCTTTCACACTGTCAGTTTTTGTTGTGTTTATTTCGTTATTGAGAGGAAAGCACGCAGCATATGTTGACATAATCATCCAAACGCCGCTCAGCAGCGTCAGGTTCGGTTCTGCTGCGTTTGCAGCTCTGAAGTGCTGTCTGAATTGCATCAGGAGAGCTGAATTACAGTCTTGCGCTACAGCGCCGCTCTGGTCAAACCGCGTTATTGCAGGCTACATTAGGGATCCAACGACTACTCGACAACAAAAATATTTGTCGACAATTTTTTTTTTGTCGATAATGTCGACTAATCGTTTCAGCCCTACTTGTAAGTTATAATAACAACAATAATAATATTCTTTATAATTAAATAATTAATTTAAACATTGTTTTCAAGGAATATCATGTTTGTCCACATTTTAACTTTGTCAAAAATAAAATGAGTTGTAAATTTTAATTTAAAAACATTTTAAAACATTAATTAAAATGTTAAAGTGTGATATAGATCTACATAAGGTGCTTTATTTTTTTTATTGTTTTTAATTAATTTATTTATTCAGAAGGGAGACTTCAATACTTTCATTAAAATGGTTTCAAGTTTGTTGTAATAAAGGATTTGTTCACTCAAATAACTTGTTCTTGTTCTTTTAAGAGTCATTGTTACTGATAAGAATTATTGTTTAATATATACTGTGATAACCGTGAAACCGTGATATTTTCTGAGACGATTATCATACCGTGAAAATCTCATACCGTTACAACCCTAGTCTCTGCAGGAGCAGATTTTCAAAGCACAAAAAGATTTACAACATTTATAACATCTCTAGCCAGCACAGCCAGTGGGTTATCAGCATCTTCAAATATTTAAGTTAATTTACGAAGTAAAGTCATTTTCCATTGGAAAGATGTGAAGTCTGCAAACTCCACCCCTAGTGCTTGCATTAATCTATAGCAACCAATAATTTTGAGATTGCTAGCGTTTTTTTTTAAATGCACTGATTTTTACTGAAGTTCATTATAATTAACATTTGCTATATGATCATAGAACTTTGCAGATAATTTATTAAAGAGCAGGTCATATGGTATTTTAAAGTGTCCTAATATTGTGTTGGAGTCCCCTACAACAGGTTTAAATGCATCTAAGGTCAGAAAACATTGTAATTTTCTCAGAATATACATTTAATATTAGAGTCATTTGCCAATGATTTCTAAACGGTTCGTTCCAAGCAAGTTCGGAGCAAACCCCTCCCTTCCATAAGCCTACTCTGCTCTGAATGATCAGCTGGCCAAGCCTGTTGTGATTGGCACAGAGAGGAGTCCTTGAGCAAGTTAAGCTTGTTAGTCCAAATTAAGAAGATTAGAAGCCAACGAAGATAAAAGCCAAGATTAGAGAAGCAGTCCTTGGTAAAATGACATGCACACAACAAAAGGTTCGAATTGTATTTCTGTGGTATCCTTGAACACAGCGTCTTCTCAACATGATGTAAACACACTAACTAGCGGACGTGTTTGTGGGCAGGTCAGACTCGCGGGCAGGTGGGGATTATGCAAATGTGTTACCCAGTGATGTATACCGGTAACAGGCAAAAGATTCGAAAATATGACGACTCGTTAAGGCGATTCAGAATCGACTCTCTCTTTTGAGAGACAATATCTTTATTTATCGTGCACTTTTTTTGATTAACAACTTTGCAGATTGTTTTCATTTAAGGAGAGCTACGTTATAAACTGCAAAAGAGATATTTTTCAAAAACCCATATGACCTGCTCTTTAAGTCATATAGCTTGTCAGTCTCTTTGTCTGGAAGGAGGCAATTGAAGTTCTCAGACATCTATCGTTGAAAACTTTGAGGTTATGGGCAGGATGCAATGAATGCTTAGTTTTATTTATTAATTCATCTTAAAATCAAGCATAACATGTTATTTTTAAAGAATATTATTTTTACTTATCAAAATAAAATGTTTGCTGTGTGTGTGTGTGTGTTTATATTCTTTTCAAAACTGACACATGTATTTTTTACCCTTTTTCCCCATTAGGTATCTTTTCTGATACTCACTTGCTTACAATGATGTACATTGGTGAGATGTGTTTCTGGGCAGTGAAATATGAGGACTGCAGCATGGACACCACAGAGCGCAAAGAGGACAGGCTTCATTTCCGAGATATTGGCACACAAATCCTCCATAAGTACGTGCTGGCATGCGAGGGGCCACTTCAGGGTCAGGGCTGGAACACAGAGAATGCCAAGGAGATCCTTAATATTTTACAGTAAACCTGGAGAGAGCTTTTAGGAGAGGAGATTCACAAAAATGTCATTGTTCTGAAGCTAGCAAAAAAAAAAAGAAAAGTAAAACAAACACACAAAAAAGATTTAAAAAGAAAAATACTGAAAACACTGAAGGCACTTATCTTCCGGTCCAGATTTGTTTTCTGGGTGTGTTTTCGTTGAGAATGTGGAATAATACTTCTAATGTAAAATATAAACAAATAACTATTTGTTTAAGGAAAAAAATTCCAACTGAGAAACATCGCAACTTTTTATTTATTTTAATTTTTATTTATTTATTTTTAATTACATTACATTTATAAATGTCATTTATATATGTAAAAAAAAAAATGGTACAAAGGAGAGGGAAATGCAGGTATATGTTGCATATTGAAGTATTTGTGACCATTTTTAAGTATGGATCTTTTCATTTTAATAACATCTTTGTATATGACACCTCTTCTGCTCACTTATTAAAAGTTGCATCTTTATTCCTTTCATTGACCAGATGTTTAGAGATGGGAATTTGGATATTTTGATAGTATACTTTTAAAAAGCTAAACTTTTTGGTCATATTCTTTTTAAAATGAAGTTCATTTTTTGTTTTTTGTCTTCATTGAAATAAATTTTGGGTTAAGAAATGTGAACGTGTGAGTGATATTTTGGTTTCACATATTTGAAAGGTTGTTACATATTCAAAAGGTTGGAGATACAGGATGCTGGTTCAAAAAGGTATTTTATACTCTTATTGCTAACCTTTTAATGTATAGTAAAAACGAGCATCCTTAATTAAAGATTCAAAGTGAAACAATTAAAAACACATTATGATTATGCATTATGTAGTATTCATTGGAATTATAAAAAAAATGAAATCAAACCATCTTACATTTCTATCATTTTATGGGGTCAATGGCAACGCTACATAATGTTAGTGGCCTTTAACATAATTTTGTTGATGTTAAATCAACTTATGCTTATCCAAAGTAAACTTTCACACAAAAGATGACAAATTGGGTGGTTGTGAATAACAATACTATTGTTTTCTGCAAAATTGTGACACGAAGTACAATATGTAGGTAACTGGGGCACTAGAAGAACAATATTGATATACGTTAACTGCTTCACAGTATGTCCTTATGAAGGGCTAGGAGTGATACTTCACACAAATCAAGGAATAATATTCAATTTGTGTTTTAAATGGTAGATAATACATTTACAAATTTAAAAATATAATTTGTAGAATTAAGTTGATAACGTGTTCTTTAATTTTATTTTTACGTGTCACTCCTAGTTCTCCATATGTCCTCCCAAAAGCTGAACATGATAGACCTTGCTTTATTCTGTTGTAGTTTGGCAGTGTGGATTTCCAAAACTACAGTTCCCACAATGCAGTACCCTACTGTGCGTGACGATCCATACACGCCTATGAAAACACCAGAGACGTGTAACTTTGACAGTTCCGGGAAAATCCACTGGAACACTTCACAACTGAAATCGTGATTAACAGTTAACTGACATGTCATGTAATGAAATAAAAGCAAATCTATTAACGTTTTTGCTCTATTAAAAAAGTTACGTATAGAAATCTTTCTAAGAAATAGTTGACAAATAGGTGTCAGTATGCTGAGACGATCTATAGTCGTGCAAAGTCTCAGGAGTATTAGAGATAGGTTTTTTGATACAAGACGACAAAGAAATGAGAAAAGGGATGGTCAGGGGTCAAGTAATGAAGTCACGGGCCCCTCTCTGGATAACCTGACGGTAAGGCACGACTCTTCTTTGTTTCATATTTATAAAATTTCATATTTATTTATTTACCTGACGTTTTATTAAAAGTACAGATTATGGCTGTGTTGCGAGTGGAATACTAGCTGTACTAACAACTGCACAGTACACTGTATACTGTTTACTGAGAGGCGTTATATTAACAATATACATTAGGCTACTACATTTATATCATCTTGCTTATTTAATTTGAATGGGGTTCTCAATTTGTAGTTGTGTAATTATTTTGTATTTTACCTCAATTTTTTTTTTATTTGGTACTCTGATCAAATAATGAAACGAGAAACAGAAATGTGAAAAATCACAGCTGCTATTACTTCCAGTTCATTTATGACACAAATGCATTGAATTGTGGGATACAGTTTTGTAAACAGTAAGCCTTTTTGTTTACCACTCATTTTACTGTGCACAGTATACATACTATATGCTGCAATAATTGTAAGAGCAGTATGGTAGTATGCTCTGCCAAACATAGCCTGCATACAAATACAATATACTACATATGTAGACTAAACTGCAGCTGTATAGGTACTAATACCAGATCATGTCTCTAAATAATTATTGTGCTATTTACATTACTGCTTAAAATATTGGGATCAGGAAGTTTTTTTTAAGAATGTAAAAATTTTACAACAAGGATTGATCAAAAGTGACAGCAAGGTTATTTATAATGTTACAAAAATATATATTTCAAATAAATGCTGTTCTTTTGAACTTGCTATTCATCAAAGAATCCTAAAAAAAAAAAACTATATGTGACCATGGACCACAAAACCAGTCATAAGAGTCAATTTTTTCATCATCATCTGAATCATTTTCATCATCATTTTCAAAACATCATCTGAAAGCTGAATAAATAAGCTTTCCATTTATGTATGGTATGTTATGATAGGACAATATTTGACCGAAATACAACTATTTGAAAATCTGGAATCTGAGGGTGCAAAAAAATCATAATATTGAGAAAATCGCCTTTAAAGTTGTCCAAATGAAGTTCTTAGCAATGCATATTACTAATCAAAAATTAAGTTTGGATATATTTATGGCAGGAAATTTACAAAATATCTTCATGGAACATGATCTTTACTTAATATCCTAATGATTTTTGGCATAAAAGAAAAATCGATAATTTTGACCCATACAATGTATTGTTGGCTATTGCTACAAATATACCCAAGCGACTTAAGACTGGTTTTGTGCTCCAGGGTCACATATTAGAATGATTTCTGAAGCATCATGTTACACTAAAGACTGTAGTAATGGCTGCTGAAAATTCAGCTTTGCCATCACTGGAATAAATTACATTTTAAAATATACTAAAATAGACAGTTATTAAACAGTTATTTTAAACTGCAATAATATTTCACAATATTACTGTTTTTCTGTATTTTTTTATCAAATAAATGCAGCCTTGAATATAAGCTCCTTTCAAAACATTAAAAATCTTACCAACCCCAAACTTTTGAACAGTAATCATTTTTAAAACAATTCTCCAAAACACATTATTTTGTCTTTCTTATACAGGTTGACATGCAGTTTCTCATTATGACCTTCCTGTCTCCGCAAGACCTCTGCAGACTGGGAGGCACCAGTACATACTGGCAGTCAATGGTTCGAGACCCTGTCCTGTGGAAGTACTTCCTGTTGCGTGATATGCCACTCTGGCAGTCAGTTGACCATTTATCAGTGCCTCAGGTCAAGCTCACTGGCTCAGCTGTGCTGGATGACTCTGAGATGCAGCTGGATTATATGGCAGAGTAAGAGCTTAACGCTGCAGCACATGGCACTTCAGTATCAGAAATAATCAGCTCTAGGTGCACCCTGTTTATGTTGCATTGGTAGATTTCCTAAGACTATCCAGTCTAAAAATAATATAATAAGAATTGTAATTTATTATTATTTATATTATACTTTATTTTATAAAAAATAATAAAAGTGGTTTATTTCTTGTATCTATGAAAGTTGTTGTCCTGTATTTAAAACCCCTTAATATTTAACTGTAATATTCTCTTTAACATGGCACCCACAGGTATCTACGTGTTTGTCCGGCCTGTCGAAACCAATGGCAACACCAACCCAGAGCCTTTGAATCTGTGACTTCCTTCTTCCAGTCTCTTGTACCGGTTTCAGAGCCACAGTTTGCCATGTTCGGCCCCGGGCTTGAGCAGTTAGAGATTTCCCTCATGAATACAATCATGCATTCCCCTCGTGTACTGCCTGTAGCAGGACTACCTCAGCGTCAGATTGATGGTGCTGTGCCATTACTTATAGTTTATTCAAGTCAGTTATTAAACTGAATACATGGATGTTGTGCTGTGGTTGCTTTTTCTGTACTTGACCTTGATGGGATTTTTTTTTTCTTTTTTTTTTCAGGCATTGGATCTGGAATCAGTTTTAAGTACAAAGATCAGCACAGATTCAATATTGCAACTTTATATTCAACTAACAGGTGAGGAAGAGGATATTATATCGTAATTTAGACGTGTTATACATGTACTACTGTTTAAATGTTTGGGGTTGGATTTTTTTGTAGATTCATGTTTTTGAAAGAAGTGTTTTATGGAAGCCCGTTTCTGCCAAGGGATTAAAAAATAAGTCGATAATTGTGACTTTTTGTCTCACAGTTATGAGAAAAAAGTGAGAATTGCAAGATATTAACTCAGAATTCTGACTTCCTTCACACAGTTCCAAGTTTACATCTCACAATTCAGATTTTTACATTGCAATTCTTGCAATTCTGTTTTTTTTTTTTTTAATACAATTCAAATTGCAACTTTTTATCTGACAATTATGACTTTCTCTGGCAGTTCTGAGTTTATATCATGCAATTCTTAATTTATATCTCCCAATTGTGAGTTAATATCTCGCAATTTCATCTTTATATTTAAAACTGACTTTAAAATAAAGTCATGTTTGCATGATAGGACTAGGTGTTATGATCCCAATATTCAGCACCAGAGAGAAATATATTTTGTGAGAAAAAAGTCTGAATTGTGAGATAAAAAGTCACAATTACCTTTTTTTTTTATCCTGTGATGGAAACAAGCTTCTATTGTCTCTTATGCTCAATAAAGCTGCATTTATTTGAAAATACAATAAAACAGTAATGTTGTGAACTATTATTAGAGTTGAAAAGAACTATTGTCTCTTTCAGTATATTTTAAAATGTATTTCTGTGATGGCAAAGCTGAATTTTCAGCAGCCATTACTCCAGTCTTCAGTGTAACATGATCCTTCAGAAATCTTTTTATTATTCTGATCCTGTGCTCAATAAATGTTTCTTATTAATATCAGGATTTTATTTTTTCAGGATTATTTGATGAATAGAAAGTAAAAAAAAAATTTTTTTTTTAAAGAATTAATTTCAAATATCAATCTTATGTAACATTTCTTTAAAATAAATAGATAAATAAATCTTACTGACCCCAAACTTTTGAATAGTAGTGTATGTTGCTTGTGTGTTTATTTGTTGCACATGTTCAATGAGATCTGGGCCCGTATTCACAAAACATTTGATCTTACCACTAAGAGTTCTCCTAAATAGCAGAAAAGTTTTTAGCTAAGAGTTTTCTCTTAAAACCTATTCACAAAGCTGCTAAGACCAATTTTTATTAAGGAATAGAGAGAAGTCTTAAGCTAAGAGTAAGGGCGGGGTTGACCTCGTTGCTATGGATGATGTCAGCATGCTTACTAACTATGCACACAGTGATTGGCTGATAGTCTCTGTCAGAGATTTATTCATGGAAATATTGTAGAGTGCAATATTATGTTGCCGTATTCAAATAAAGGTTTAAAAATAAAAAATGTTAATTGTCACATTCAAATAAAGATTTTAAAATGCAGGATATGTGTCACTAATTAAACAAGTATATGTTCAGCTTATTGTCAGCCTCTTACATGTATGCTTCTCAAAAACAATTAGCGGATATGCATATAAACAGCCTTTTAATTAACAGAGTAGAATAATCATGGCCGATAGTAATACATGCAAATGTAAAAAAAAATAATAATAATAAAAAACCTGGATGCAAAACAGCTGTTACTTCTTGCCCAACTGGTTAATGAAAACAAGGATATAATCAAAGGAAAATTAGGAGTTGGGTTAACCTCCAAAACCAAAGGTGATACCTTTTTAAAAGGTCATCATCATCAAATATTTCTAAAATGTTTACGTTCCGAGGCAGATTGCCAGAAACAGCCATTTTAGGAATAGTTTGTGGCTTGGTCTTATAGCCTTAGGAGTCATCTTCACTACTCCTAACGTTTCACAACTCTTAGAGCAAAAATTTAGGAGTCCTAAATTTAGGATTGACGCACGCGCCCATTATTTTTAAGATTTTCTCCTAAATCGGTGAGTTATGATCTACTTTTATCCTTAAGATGTTTTGTGAATACAGGCCCTGATGTGTAAATATGTCACATAATACAGTTTGAATGTATGAATGGGAGTCTGTGTCTCTGGGTTTAGGACAGAGCGAGAGAGAGCGCGTCTGGAGCACCTCAATCTGCGCAGCAAACTCTATGTCTATGAGGAGGATAGTGAGTCCAACATACCCTTAAGCATTAACTCCATGTTTAATCAAGTTTGTCAAGCTGTGAATGGATTCGTCTTTGTGGCCAATGCTGAGACAGAAAGAGGTATGGCTGTCCTTTTTGAGCACACTTTAAAGGCTTATGCCTATATGCTTGAAATTTGTTTTGTACACCAATAGAAATTGTGCCTAAGTATGAATTTCTTTAGTTTCCTGAAACATTGTAAGCAGATCCCCATAGTGATTTTGCAGTTTATACTGTCTATCTCTCTTTTATATATTGGAGGAATGGACAGAGGGTGGGAGGAGGAATGTGCCCAGATCAGGGTTATGTTAGACCCTGTGGTGGGTGCTGTGTGCCGCCCTATCCTGGTGCTCTCCTGTGTGTCTAGAGAGACAGCAGACAGACGCAGGATACCTTGTGTGACCATTGCCCATCAGCTTCAGCTCAGCTCACTGCCAAACCCTTGGATGGTAAGACATCAAACAGCATCTGCAAACATAATCAAAGAATTTCTGACTGTACAGTGTACAAGAAATTAATATACTGAATATGCAATAAGGCTTCAGTATATGTTTTGACATACTATAGGTTCAGGATACGGCTGCAGAAACACTGACGGGACTGCTGGATGGTATTGATTGGCTGCTGAGGCACTCTGGAGTCAGGCTATAACCAATAAGATTGTAATGAAGCTACTGGATGTATCAAGTCACAAGTCACACCATTATAGGTCACACAATAGTGGTGTGCTGATTTTACATTGCCCTTTTCAACAGTTGACCTGTTATTGTTTTGTCTAAATGTTGTCCTTTAATTGACTTTTTGAATTTTTTAAAAGTGGAATAGCATTTTTCATATATATATTTTTTTTTTAATCAGGGGAATTATATTTATGTAGCTCTAAAGGCAATATCACACAAGCAAGAGTGCTTTTGTACTGAACATCAACATGTCTGAGATTTGACTGTAGGCAGGTAATATTAAGAATCAGAATAACAATATGTTATGATTGTGATACAGTTCAGTTCAATAAAGAAAAAGTTAATATTAAGCAACTTACATTTTAGACACAATTTTGCCTTATATTCCTCTGCTTTTGCTTTGCAAACAAATCCAAAGCAGAGCCAACCATCTCCAAACAAGCTTAAACGAATCAGGGTTTTTTAATTAATTGGTTGTGTGAATGATTCATTGACTCGCATGTTGTAATCCCAGTGCTGTTGGACTAAATATGAAGATATGAAACTATTTTAGATGAGTAATGCATTTAAAATATGTAACCTCAGAATAATGATAGTTCACTTACTTTAACCCTGTGCTGTGCTGAAAATCCTTTACCTAATTTGGTGTTCACATATTTCAATATTTTGGTTTCAATATTTGGTAATAATATAACTTTGTAGGAAATCCTTTGTAGGCTGGTCATTTTTGACCGGAACACCACAAGTGTAACAAGGTTTCTAAAAAAAGATTTAGTCCAATGTGTATTTATTAAATTAGTATTTTTGGGAAAAGGAAATCATACCTGGCTCACAACATTAACTGTCATATATTGTTCTTAATTATTCGGTATGGATCATTCTTCCAGGACTTCGAACTCCTGAAGGGTGTTTTTCCTCTTTTGTCCACAAAGAGGCAGCATCCTCAGCTTTATTAAGATGATTTGTTGACAACAATAAGAACATTGACCTTGTATAACTTGCTGCCCAGTTTTATTTAGGGTGGAGGTCATCCAGTGGCCAGTGTTCAAGAAATATTTAGCTATTGCTTTGTCTCTGTCTTCTCTTTGTCGGCGACTCCCTGCGGCCCTGTTCTCTTCCTCTGTTTAATTAAAAGTGAAAGCCAGCGAATGCTTTCGGCATTTCACAGAGGTAATATGCTAAACTGAGTAATTAAGACTAATGCTAAAGTTCAACCTTACTAAAGGCCACATTGCCACTGAGCAAGCTTAAACTGTCAAACCGAGTCATGAAAATAGTCTTGAAATAGTGAAAAATGGGACTCAATAGGAGGATAAAGGTTGCCTTGAAGTGCCTTAAAGAAATGAGACAGGAATCATTGTCTTTTTTTCTCTTTCCGACATATTTTCAAGGTTGAGTGCTTGATAGATTAGACAGGTGGGTTTTTATATGGCAAGTGACTCATTTCTGAGCACTAAGTACATGTACTAATAACTTTTTTTTTTTTTTGTCTAAAATCCATTCTGGGTGGAAGTAGACGTAATAAAATGTTTAGTCCTTTTGTATTTCCCTAGAGGAAGAACAGAATTGTTTTTTCTTGCGATCTCTTTTCTTACTCATAAAATGATTATGTATAGCAATAATGATTGTCTTGAAAAAAAAAGGAATGTTTTAAAATGAAAATGTAATTGCTGCAATTTGGATGCATTAAGTCTAACCTGAATGATAGAGATGGCTGTCTGCTCTGTAATGAAATTTGACATAATGGAGAAAGTGCTGACCTTTCCGTATTAAAATGTTCTCTTTCACCTCCCCAGAAGCTCGTGCAAACAGTTTTCTTCCACGCATGTCTCTCTTAACTCACTCATGCTATGATTTCATGTAGCGAGACAGACCATGTTTCGTCTGCACCCATAAAAAAGACAGGCTTGAAATCTTTTTAGAATAAATTGCTTGCTGATTTCCATGGATTATTTTAAAATTGCATGCATCAAAATGGCTTCAATGCCTAGTTTAACTGTAACTAAATCAGTTTAGTTCTATTATTTTTTATTTTTAGGTTTTTCTATTTTCTTTGTCCAATCAAGATATAACAAACAGATAGATAGATAGATAGATAGACAGACAGACAGACAGACAGACAGACAGACAGATAGATAGATAGATAGATAGATAGATAGACAGACAGACAGATAGATAGATAGATAGATGATTAGATAGACAGACAGACAGATAGATAGATAGATAGATAGACAGACAGATAGACAGATAGATAGA